CCATTCCCAATTTTCCCTTCCCACCTTTCTCTCTAAACCGTTCTGTGATGCACAGCCCCTAGTATCGGAAACTTTAAGACACTAGACAATCCACAAACTACTGAAAGTGTTCCTGCGCCATGGCACCGTGGAGATTTCACTGAACTGTATTTTAGAAAGTCTGTGTCTCTTTCTGTCACACCAGATTGCTTAGTGAATGACCATCACTTCTTAGCTATTGCTAATGACATTAAAGCACTATTGTTTAATCCAGTGAAGAAATTCCTTTAATTCAGAAATTCCTTTAATTCAGCAAATTATGGCTACATAGAATTTGGTCAATATCATACAGAAAATATACTGTCCTCTAAAAAGTTAGCAAGCAAGAAAGACCAGAAGGAAATGTTAAAATATTGTCTGGCTTGGGCTCTTACGTCTGAACCGTATTAAGGGAGCCTGAGTTTTGGCCTTGGGAAAAGGATCATTTGACACTTAGCCCTAGCCTTAGTGCTACCTCGGCTCCTTACACACTCTGCAGAAGCGGAAGACACCTCAGAGTGAGGTTTAAGAGACAGGCAGGTAGACATTAGTGGCAGCAAGTTATCAGCAGGTTACAGCAGTGTGATCAGAGGCAAAGTGTTGCTTACCTCCATGCCTCCCTCCTCTTATCTGTAAAATGCTCATAATAATGCCCCTGTGGCCTTGAACTGCCTGCAGGTTCAGTGAAAATACACGTGCAATGCCTCCCACATCATAAAAAAAACCCTCAAAAACACTAGGTATTTTGAAACTGCATTTTTACAACCTAAAACTCTGGAATTAAGTAATTAATTCTATCACAGTTTTAAATGACTTCATGATTTTCACGGGTGCCCATGTCAGAGTTACAGAATAAATTATCCAGAAAGAGCTGGAAATAAGGATACCTATAAGACTGTGGCTAAGAGAAGAATTAACCAGACCAAATATGCACTGATCCTGGCTCTGCCAATACCTGTGGACACAATTCTCTAAAACATAAGGAGTCTGAGCAAGGTGAATAACCAGGTGTCATGAAGCTCATACATTACCCAGATGACATTGGCAATCATTTCATTCCTCACCATCATATATACGGCCCTGGAAGTCTATAAAGATTACAAGCTGGAGAAAGTAAAGATATTATGAGCATGTTATCTCCCTACGCCAACAACCCAGGGTAATCATATACCTGGTGCGTTTTTGTGAGGGGCAAAGGGAGGTAGGAAGCAGACACCCCGGCCCCCAGCATGAGCCACACTCTACTTCTCCCTCCACTTCCTAAATCACTCCCTCAGAACTGGTGTTATTGTCCCATTTTAGAAATGAGGTCAATCAAATAATGAGATAAAACTGAACCCAATCTATAAAAAGCTCTTGCTATTTGCAGTATGGGGCCTAGCCTATTAATAAATAAATAAGCATACTGAATACATTGGTACTTTAGTTCAAGAACTCAGTTCTCTCTAGGATCCTGCTCACAAACCAAACCGGACAAGGACCAAATCAAATGTCCCCATAAGGTCACACTGAACCTAACCATTGAATATGATTCGGTTCTTGTCCAACTTGGCTTGTGACAAGAATCGTGGAAAGAATAGAGCTCATGAGCTGAGGTACCACTCTGCACACACATACACACACTGTGGGCATAAGTTTGCCTGCTATCTGTGTGTGTAAAACCCTACTTACAGCCCTGACATTGGTTGCCCCTCAGTGCTGATCTATTCCTCCTCCATGGATTGGAAATGTTAGCAGCTCATATGCTTTTACATTACAGAGATGCTGTGAGAAACCGTTAAATATCTAGAGCCAGCTAAGGATTATTAAGTACAGGCAATTCCCTGCTCAGGTAATTGCTTTTGAGCCATAAAGGGACAGTTAAATAAGCACTTCCATTTTAATATCATTTTCAAGAGATAAAAAGGATTCTGAAATTCCATAATGTCTAAATTTGGTACTGCTGTTGGGGAGGTGAAGAAACTTTACAGTCATGTGCTTTTTATAAAAGGATAATTGCCTGCTTCAAAAACTTCTTTAGTTAGAATTTTCATTGGGATAAACTGTAGAAGTTCTACAGTGAAGAAGCCTCGCTTTTCTACCCAAAAATTAATTCTAGTACGAGACTGTAAACCCATATGGCCGACTCCAATGACAATTCTTGGTGTCCAGGTTGGTTTTAATTCAGTGCCATTATTTTTTAGCTGTCTTGTGGCACTGGTTCTGCCTCCTACTCCTATCAAACCTAGAGAACCTCAGTTCATTAGTGGGCTGTCCCCTCCCTGTCCCAATCCAGAGCCTCATCCTCTCTACTGCCTTTACCCCTCAACACTCAAGCATTTCTCATCCACTTCAAACAAATACTAAAAGTCAAAAACAAAAGCTCCCCTTAGCCCTGTATCTCCACATTGCTATTTTCCACTCACTTGAAGAGCAAATTGTGACATGAACTTCCTTTGGCCTCCTTATATCCTATCCATTTTAAACACAGTGTTAGAATTCTGCCTTCTTTCTCCCTCCCCCACAAACACGACACTGAGTGTGTTTTCACTGTATTCTCTGATGACATTTTTGTTGCTATAGCCTATGAATATTTCCATTAGCATTTACCTTGATGTACTCATGACCCTTGACATTCTACCACTTCTTCCTAGAACTCTCTAGAAATTTCTAGAATTCACTGCCTGAATTCCCATCTTGTTATTCCTCTAAATTTTCTTCAGGGTCCTAAAATGCTGGAGGAAGCTGCAGGTGAAATGGAACCCTTCTACACTGTTGATTGGAATGTAAACTAATAGAAACACTATGGAGATCAGTATGGAGATTCCTCAGAACACTAAAACTAGAAATTCTCTTTGATCCAGCTATTGCTTTTCTAGGTATCTTTCCAAAGAGTTAAAAATATCATAGTACAGCGATACATGCACACTCATGTTTACAGCAGCACAGCCATAACAGCTAAGTCTTAGAAGCAGCCCATATGTCCATCAACAGATGAGTAGATAAAGAAATTGTGGAATTTACACACCATGAAGTACTACTCTGCCACAAACGAGATAAACTTGAGCCATTTGTAGGAAAATGGATGCACTTCCTGACCATAATGTTAAATGGAGTAAATCAGACACACAGCTTAAATATGGTATGATTTCTCTTATATGAGGAACCCACATTATAAATAAAAAGCAAAATAAAAGATAGCAGAAACAGGGAGAAAGAACTTTCTCAAATGGAAAGTGGATCAAGAGATGGAGGGAAGAGAAAGGGGATGAAAAAAGGAATTAAGATTCATTATGTACATATATCAACTCCACACAAGGCCGAGAATATAGCTCAACAGTGCAGCACCTGCGTGGCAACACAAGGTCCTGAGTTCGAATCCTGGTACCAAAAAGAAAAGAAAAAGAAACCAACTCCACACAAGGAATGTGAACATTATGTACCACAAACATGTTCTAATAAAGCACTTTTTAAAGTTCTAGGCTTCTCCAAAGTTTTCAGGAAAGAATATTTATGTGACCTCTAGGATGTGATACTAATTATTCCCAAGACTTCAGCTTCCACCTTTGAAATACCCCTTCTTGCCCTCTGAATGCCTCTGACCTGTGCCTGTCTTCAGGACACAGACTTCTCAGGCCTCTTAGCATCCTCTCTTCCTGCCCACCTTCATCTCAGTCAAGAGCCCTCAAACTAACTGTCCAACCTAGAAACCAAAGCATCCACTTTGATAGCCAAAGGATAGGAGAGTTTAGAGTAGGATTCCAGAGGAGGGTTCAGTTGGGTTTGATTCTCAGCTGTCATACCTGACAGCTCTGAATTTCCATGGGCTACATTTGCATCTCTCTGGGCCTTGAGTTCTTTATCTTAAAGTGGAGATAATAATAAAATCTGCCTTACAGGGTTCTTACTGACATCAAAGAACTTTTGTAAAGCACTACATCTGTGTTACTTTACCTCTTCTCGTGTTTTAATACTTTATACTGTTACTCCCATCAGTTTAAAAGCATTCAGTATCCTCCTCCGTTGCCTTTTGCATCTAAATTTCTCATCTGGTCTTCATGAAAGACCCAGCGTGCTCAGTGTTAGCCCAACCTCACGTGCTCTATCCTGGAAAAAGGAGCAGCAGAATATCCTCCTGCTATCCCTCCAGGACTTTTCAAATGCTTTCCCTTCCTCTGCAAAACACTCTTTCCCCAGTTCTTGGCCCCTTGTGTCTGGACAGCTTCTACTCATTCTTCAAACTTTAGGTAGGTTGTCATTTCCCTGGGAACTCTGGCTTAGGCCCAGCAACAAATCCTCACGCTTCCCTAAAATTTCTTTTGCCTAGCACATATCATGGGTAGCTTGTTGTACATGATTGTCTGTCCAGTCCCTCCCTTGAACTGCATTCTCTGTGAAGGAAGGAACTCTCCTTTTTCTGGTCATTTCTTAGAACATCCTAGATGCTGGAAGCATGGCTGAACAAGCATACACACACAGAGTATTTCAGGCAGAACTTATGCCAAGTAAAGAAATTACATAAAAATATGTAATTCCCAGCAGAACTTGTGTACTCCAGGGAGCTTGGGGGTGGGTAGGCTAGAATATTCACTATTGGTCTTGTAGGAGAAGGATAGGCTGCATAGTAGATTCAGATACTCAGTATATAAAGCAGAGTTAGATGCCCTGTTTCACAACTTTTCAAGACTATAATTCATTCTGATAAACCAAATAATTTAACACTCATCACATTTGATGATTGCTGTACAGGGAACATCTTCTGCATTTTCCCACCAACCACAGTTTCATTTGACTTTACTTGGTTGAATGTGATTTTCAAACTAGATCATATTCTGGGATATTTTTTCCCATCCACAGCTCCCAAATTTCAGAGCCAAAACTGAAAGATGCTCTTATTTTTTTAACAAAGGAGTAGTGTGCCTGAACTGTTATTTCTTACTTGTGTGATATTTCTTGTGTTCCTGTGATTGTTTTGCTAATAATCTAATCTCCTTCTAAACCAGGTGCAGTTACATGATAGACAATGTGATTCTACTGATGAATGGTGCATTGCAAAAAAAATCTGTGAAAGAAATTCTGGCAAAGTGCCATCCATTGGGCAGTTTCACAGAAATGGAAGCAGTCAACATTGCAGAGACCACTTCAGATCTCTTCAACGCAGTTCTGGTTGAAACCCCATTAGGTATGAAATCATAAGTACACAACTGCCTGTGTTTGTTATCACAGTCATGAGAAAAGGTACTTGTGGTTCACAACTGTTCCATGTATACAGCTTCATACTGTGCTGATTCATAGGTGTACAAGGGACACTAAAGAATCATCTATTTGGGCTCCCTCATTTTCAGATAAAAAAAGTGAAGTAACCTGCTCCAAGTCACATGTGAAATCTTGTTGCAGAGAAGGAGCTGGAGCTCACTGCCCATCCTTCAAATCCTTGTACTTTCTACCAGGCCACAGCATGTAAATGACAGAACATATCATTGTTGAAAACATTCATCTTCTAGCTGAGTTTTATACGATTAATTCCTCATGCTTCATTTTAAGCTAAGGTCTTAATAAAGTCAAGCTAGGGAGACTTTTGTTTTAGGAAGCTTGGAAATGTCATTTTTCTGAGATCCTCTGTCAAATAATCTGAAGTGATGACATGAATGCCAGTTTCATTATAATTTGATCCTGATGAGAATGGAATTATTCAAAATGCTAAAGGGATAATGTTATAGGCATTTATTTATCTATTATTGTCAGAAAATCAGGGTAGTAGTGATCCACAATTGATCATTTGTCAAAATATTTGCCTTTTGATTTAATTTAGGGGGAGTCCTGAGGATTAAATCCAGGACCACATATATGATAAGAACATACTCTACCACTGCCATCCCAGCCAAAGTAGTAGCAGTTTAAAACAGAAATTTTCAAAAGACAAAAATAATATTTGTGTCATCCACTGGTGTCTGAGGCTGAGGCAGCACAGCCTCGTGGAAAGCCTAGAATCAGACAGCTTCGACCTTGTCCCAACAAGGTGACCTGGAGTAATTCAGTTCACCCAAGTTTCCTCATTTTAAAAACAGTCATATCTGATCATAGAAAGATTTTGAAAACTAAATAAAACATAGCCTTAATACAACTCAGTGCCTAGTATAAATTAGGTTACTAATGGCACAAGTTACTAGTAGGTAACATTTACTGGGGACTAAGGAGAGATTTCAAAAACTAATAGTTAAGTGAATAGTTCCAACATGTTGTGAAGACTAAAGGAGTAGAAATGTGCTCAGTATAGCAAACAGTGTTCAGAGCTCACACATGGTGAATGCTTAATAAGGAATAATTCCTGTCATCCTGACTGCTGTTAGTCGTATCAGGTCTGTGAATTGCAACTCCACAGTGTTCTCATTAGAAGTCAGCAGAGGGTGGTAAGTCCAGGAAACATGCTCTGTAGTTTATAACCTTGCTTTTGATTCATTTACTTTGTTTGATAATTTTTGCTTTTAGCTCCATTCTTTCAAGACTGTATGTCTGAAAACACTCTAGACGAACTGAATGTTGAATTACTGCGCAATAAACTATATAAGGTAATAGTTTTCCCAGACACTACGTTTTTCTTGATTACATGATGTATCATAACTAGAATCTTTACAAGCAAAGTTTCTTTGTCCATTAGCCAACCTCTGCAACTAGGAAGCTTACAGATTCAGAACACAGTTTGTTGTTTGGCCTGTCTTTTAGTTACACACATGCATATCCACTTCCCCAACTACAACAGTTTTGAGAAGAAATAACATACTTTTCTGTATTCTTAGCTCCTTGCACAGCATTCAGAGCATAAAAAGTGTTGATTGAATGGTAGTGGCCAGATAAATGAGTAGGGTGACCCATACGACCCTACTTAAAACAACCACCAAGCGTGTTGTCTTCTTTTATAGTGATCAACTCAGCCCCTGGTCCTATTATGGAGTTCCCATATCTCACAGTCAATCTGTCCACAGAATTCTAAACTAGTGTGTGCAGTATATTAGAATAATCAACTGGTGGATACTATATTGTATGCACCACATTGCATAACGTGACTGTCTGGACGGGGCTGCCACTATTAGAGTAGCCCTGTGTATTCTACATTGAGCAAAATCTGCCCATTTTCACTCATATAACCATAGCATCTTTGGACACTCTCACAAAGCGGATGAATATATAGTAATATGCCACATATATTATATGTGATGTATATGTACATAGCATGATACAGTGAAATACGTGGTGCTGCCAAAGACAACTGAATTACAGTCAATTCTTTTTAGAAAGAGACAAATGGGCTTTGAGGTGGCATCTAAGATACAACTAACAGAAGGCAGTCTTCTGGGCAATGTATAGGCCTTAATTCCATTAATCTACTAGCAAAATGATGAGATTTATGCCATACCCATTCCTCAGGTGAGAAAAACTGATACATGGAGTGGTAAGGATTCCTTGGCAGAAGTCCACTGGGTAGTAAGTATCACAGTTGGGATTCAAACACAGGCAGTCTGATACGACAGCCTAGACTCTGTCTTCCAATACATTTTGACCCTCAAAGCCATCCCTAAAATGTCTCTGAGAGATTAAATATCAGCACAAGACCGCTAAAATCATTGACTGAGCTCAGAAAAGAACTTGGCACTCTTGTTGGAATAGTCAGAATTAACCATGTGAAATAATCCAAGAACCGTGTGAAAAAGATGCTTCAGTAATTAGAAGCTATGATAAGTGCAGTTTTGTTCTCTTATAGAGTTCTTTTTTGGTCTGCGCAACATGCTGCAATGTGAAAGTGTCTACAAAATTTATTATAAAGTATCTCTCTGTGGGAGAAATAATTCAGTTTCCATTAAAGAATTTAATAAGCCATGAAAAGCTGACCTAGAAATTTCCAAAAGGAAAATATGCTCATTTTATTGTTCTTTCTTCTTTTTTAAGTCTTACCTTGAGTCATTCTATAAATTCTGTAAGAATCATGGTGATATCACAGCAGAAGTTATGTGTCCCATTCTTGAGGTAAGAAAGAGTCTTTCAATTTTTTATACCAAATAATGTGCTAATATACTTTTCCTTGTTTTGATCTTATATTTCTTTTTTTTTTTTTTTTGGTTTTTTTCTCTGGTACCGGGAACCGAACTCTCGACCTTGTGCTTGCCAGGCAGGCGCTTTTGCCGCTGAGCTAAATCCCCAGCCCCTATATTTCTTTATTGTAGAAATTATATAGAAATAAAATAAGCAGTACATTTCAGTATGTGTATCATTTGACATCTTCAGTGAAGAATAGCTTTTTTTTGAGGCCTGGGAATACAGCTCTGTAGTAGAGCCTTTGCTTAGCATGCTAAGGCCATGGGTTTGACCTCAGCTCTGCAAAAAAAAGGTACTGTTTTCCACATTTTCTACATAGAGGAATTATTTTATAATTAGGAAAGAAAAATACAAAGGTTTGATCATGATTCATTTTGATGTAGTATATAGAGTGTATATTAGAATGATTTAAATTTTAGTATACTGTGAACAATTGGTAAATTATAGGTACTCTTACACTAATTACTCAAATCCCTTCCAATGGAAGAACACGGAGCAGCTAGAAACTTTTACAGCTTGGCAGCAAAGTACACTGTGGCTCCATTCACAGGGACAGCATTCCTGGTACAAAACAAGTCCTAAAATGAAGATGACCCAGGCCGTGCTCGAGCATTCCAGTTTCGTGAAGAAGGCTCTAGTTTAGTGATTAATAGTTGGAAAACTCATTTAATTATGGCATGTGCCACTATTGATGTCTACCTGTATAGCTGATTGTGTGTGTGTGTGTGGCGGGGGTGTGTGCACGTGTATGTTGCTGGGGTAGAACCCAGGATCTTGAGCAGATCAGACAAGTGCTCTACCATTGAGCTACATCCACAACCCAACCCCTATGGCCTTTTAAATTGCTCTTTATCACTATAGAGTCTATCGATGCTCAGAGGTCCTTCCAAATGGTTGATCCGCAAACGTAAGGGAGGTTGCGGTGGAAATCTGGACAGTGTGTGAGGAATCCTGAGCAGTTTGCACCAGTATTTTACATACATATTTCTCATTAGTTTCCTAAGCCACTTGAATAATACAAGAAATACTGCTTTGTATTTTTCTAAGCCCCTATTTTGCTCTCCAAAACTGTTTTATCTAAGGAATATTTTAAATTACCTGATTATCTGGTACAGTGGTAGATAGTCCAATAGCTCAAAGTCTTACAATTTCAACAAAAATCTACTAAGCATTACCCATTGGGCAAAAAAGAAAGAAAAAGCACAACTAGTAACATCATTTGTATTTATTTTAACCTAATGTTCTGATACTGCATATGACTGAATTAGTTCTCAAATATCTGATCATTTAAATTTTACAGTTAAAACTACTTTGGTTTCCCCTTGTTAAAATTCTTTAAAAAGCCAAACAGTCCTTGAAGTAAACATCTTATCACTGGAGAACTCCAAAAATACTTTTTGTTTTATCTCCATCACACAGAAGTTAGGCCCTGAATAAACACATAACATTTTTGTGGCATGTGTAATGTCAGCAAGTGAGCTGCTCTCTTTCAGGATGATGGTCCTGTGACATGAGCAGACCAATGACCTCATTACACTGTCCTCTATAGTTCCATACATTGAATGACTAGCCACAGTAGAAGAAGCCATATTATCTATGATTCAAAACAACAGTTTCTACTTGACATAGTTCCTGTGATTTAAAGGTGGTTCACTTATTCTATACCTAGAAATACGTGAAATCAAAGTTATGCTAAAACTCATGATCTTACAAAGCATATAAGTGGGACTATTCATAGCTAGCATTATTAACACTGTGGGCTAGAGTCCATCTGGAGTGCTTTATATACATGGAATCACTTGGACTTTAAAACTATACAACAAGGTAGGTATTTTATTATATATATTTTTAGAAGGACCAACTGAGTCATGGAGAAGGTTAGTAACCTGCCTGGTGTCGTACTGTTAGAAAGTGGTAATGTCAGGATTTGAACCCAGGCAGTCTGGCTCCAGCTCCTATATGCTCATTCAATACGTTCATTTGGATCTGTAGTAAATTCACCATTCCTACAGAGTGCAGGAGCCTGCAGTCCTAGCTACTCAAGAGATTAAGGCAAGAGGACTGCAAGTTCAAGGCCAGCATGGGCAATGTTTCAAAATTAAAAATCAAACCAAGGGCTGAGGATATACAGATGTAGCTCAGTGTTCCCTGGATTCAGTTCCCAGTACTAGAAAAAAAAAAATCACCATTCATAGTTCTTTTGCATAAAAAGTAAGTGCTAATTTATAAGAAAGATCCCATTTTTTGGCCCATGAAAACCAAAAATGGGTAAAAATTATTTCCTTTTTACCCTCAGTAGGGTAAAAAATAGCAGTAGGAAAATTCACGTCACTGGAAGAAATTAATCAAACTAATATATGCCCAATGTTATTTTTCCTATCAGATTAGAATAGACTTTTTCAAACTGCATTAAAAATGAAAATGCATTCAATTATCTTCATACATTTACATAGAATAGCAGCTACTCATACCATTCCATTATAACTTTGCTAATAATATGATCAGAGGAGATTTTTCAGTTTTATGTATATACATGTATATATATATAAGGTAATAAAATTACCCTCTTTTGATTTGTGCAGCTATAGAACAGGAAGTTTCACACACATGTGATCATTGAATCTCATTTGAGAGGAGTCTTCAGAATACTTAATACAGTGGAAGAAAAAGTTAATATAGGCTTGCTTGTGAAAATTCAACTTAATTACAAGATTGTAACTTCATATAAAAGAGGGTAACTTGTGATCAAGGCAAATGCACTGCAGTGTACCCTGCTCCACTGCGGAGTGCTTCTGGTTTATGGCACCGCACATATGCTCCTGCGGCTGAGCTTAACTCCGGTTCACTTCACTTTTCCATCACCCCTGACACCTCTGCCCTGTGCCCCACCAGCACCTCTCCTCCTCAAACAATGTTTGACCCCATCCGTGCAAAACTATGATGTACAACTGATAATGATTTTGAATAAATCAACAGTGTTATTTCTTCTTACAACAATAAGCTGTGATTTGTCATGCGTATTTCTAAAAAAGAGTGAAAGAAAGACGCGGGGTGTGCAGTATACCCTGTACCACACAGCAATCCAGTTCTCTGCAAAGGCAACAGGTAGAATCAACGCACGCTGCCCCTCGTACTCTCCTCTGGTCAGATGCTGAGTCTCACTCTACTTAGGGATAATCCAAAAGCAGACTGCGTACAGTTTCAAAATTATAGCTTTTTTTCACTCAGGATACACACACAAACACACACACATACACACACACATACACACACACAAGAACTAGTAAAATAAGATAGCTATACACACAGTCATAAGGGAAATGAAAGTATAATAGGGATTCAAAGGCATTTCTAATCATGGAAGAAATAAAGGCCTTCTTGTGAAGATAGCGTTTGTTGGGACCCTCAAACCCACATAGGATTTCAACCTGTGAGTCATGAGGTGGAGCACATGCATGGCAAGCTTAGGGGAGACGTGGCGATGAGAACAAGGACTTGCAGGGTGTGGAGTGTCCAGAGGACTGGCTTGTCAGTGCAAGCCCTCTCTTCTTGGTTTTTTTTTTTGTTTGTTTGTTTTTGTTTTTTTGGTTTTTGGTTTTTCTCTGGTACCGGGAACCGAACTCACAACCTTGCGCTTGCCAGGCAGGCGCTTTGCCGCTGAGCTAAATCCCCAGCCCCAAGCCCTCTCTTCTTAAAGGGCACAGGACAGCCCTTCCTGCTGTTGACCCAGCTACATGTCCATTCACTGCTGCCTCTTCTTGCCCAGCATTGGAGTTTCAACTACTCTTCCAAAATGCCATATGCTCAGGCGGGCTTCTCCGTGGCACGCACTGCACACATGCTCTGCTATGTTGCAGTGTCTGCAGTGCTGCACACCCTGCCCTATTTCTTTCCTGAAAATTCTAACGTCTTAGAACTAGAGAGCACATGAAAGAACATCTGGGACAATTACCTTCATTGTTGCTGCTCCTGTCCTAATTTTTATTTTAAGGTTTCTTATTGCCATGAAATCTCCCTCTTGTATTACTTCTCCTATCCCTGTAAGATCTAAAATTACTGACAGGACTGCTTATATTCAGTGGCCAGAGGCAGCTGCCTTTGCTTCCAAATAAGGCCACTCCCTTCTTCTGGCCCACCCATAATTTCCATGAGAGCAATCAAAAGGATCAGACGAGACTAACTCACAATCCTTCTGATAGGAAACACCTGTTCTAACAAAAGAGTTCCAGTAAAATCTGCTGCAAGTCTGGTTTTGTTATTGGTTAATAGTCAAAAGTAATGATTAAAGGATAGCACAGAGCAATTCTTTTCAACTTTCATGTGCATGTAAAGAACTTTGGAATTGTGTTAAAATTCAGATTCTGGTTTAGTAGGTCGGGGTTGTGTCCTGAGACTGTGATTCTGATGAACTTCCTGGTAGTGTCAAAGCACTGAACCATGAAACACTTCAAGCAGCAACATTATAGTGAATATTTTCAATTTTGCAGAATTGAAAAGTAGCAAAATCACAAGCTATTCAATTGAGTTGAATGAATAGTTAAGATATTATTGTATCTCACAGCTAGGAATGGAGGTACATACCTGTAATCCTAGCATTCTGGAGACTGAGGCAGGCAGATCACAAGTTCAAGCCCACTGTGGGAAATTTAGTGACTTAGTGAGACTGTTTCTCATAACTTCTTTCCCTGTCTCATAATTTAAAAACAAAATTTTTAAAAGGGCTGGGCATGTAGCTCAGTGAGAGGCCCTGTGTTCAATCCTCAGAATATATATTCTACTGTGTCAGGAACCAACTATTCAAAAACAATGAATAAGAGAGATGTGGTGACGTGATTCCTTGTAAAAACTCAGGCACAGATTGGGTACCTAGAGTAGAATTTCTGAGCTCAAGAGCAGCTTGACAAACATTCAGAGTAGGCAGAAGAGGAGCCTATGGAGGACAGACTGAGATAAAATGGTAGGAGTAGGTAGAGGGAGAACCAAGAGAATGAAATATGGAGAGGAGAGTAAAGGAAAAAATTTCAAGAATGACTGTGTCATTAGATAAAACAGAGCGGCCTGGCCTCAGGATGGGTGCTCAGGTGTCCAGCCTAAGCAATCTAGCAACTTAGCAAGACCCTGACTCAACAAAAATAGATATAAAGGCCTGAGCATGTAGCTAATTGCAAAGGGTTTGGATTCAATCATATATATATTCAATCATATATATATATACATATATGTTCAATCATATATATTGAATATATATAAATTCAATCAATTTATATACATATATATAAAGAATTGCTCTGTAGATCTTCAGTATTACTAAATTTACATGTAAAAAGTAAATACAACTAAGAATTTGTGTATATAAAAATGTGCTTACTTTTAATCTCTGAAATAGTTTTTTTGTATATATATATATATATTATTAATCTGTTGGATGACCATTGTTTGGTCCAAGTACCCTGGTAGGCACATCTATTTACACTATCTTGATCCATCCCTGAATGGACTGTAGTGGGTATTACTCCCACTTTTATAGAAAACATATTAGTGATTCTAGTGGCCTGTGTGACAGAGGCTCAGGGTGCCTGGGAAGTAAAGTTTGGTGAGGTTTCAAGAGTCATAGGGCATTGCTGAGCTGTGTGATCCTGCTCTGGCAAAGCTGCTTCATTCCAAGAAGAGAGCAAGGGAACATTAATAACACATGTCTGCATTATAATTAGATTTAGATCAAGAAAGGAAAGCAAATCACTTCAGAAATGGATTTGTCCACTTAGGATTCTGTTTATAGCATTTAGTAAAGTATCAGATTCCACTGATCTTATGTCTTACAAATTCAGTTTGAGGCTGACAGGCGAGCCTTCATTATCACTCTTAACTCCTTTGGGACTGAACTGAGCAAAGAGCAGCGGGAGACCCTCTACCCGACCTGCGGCAGGCTCTATCCTGATGGCTTGCGCCTGTTGGCCCAAGCTGAAGACTTTGATCAGCTGAAGACAGTAGCAGATCATTACGGAGTAAGTGATCACACCAGCTTCCCTGCGTGCCTTGTGCTATTTCATCACATGTGCTATAGAAATTCACACGATAAATTTGCACTTATCAAAAGAAATTATAACACTTATAAGGTAGCAAACAGTGCCTCTTCCAGTAATTCTCTCTTCCAAAGGAATACAAGTTTCTAGCCAAAGGTGTTTTTTTTTTTAACATCCCTGCCAAGTAAGTATTGTTTAAATCTCCAAGGAGTGGTCATCTGAGCACATTTTTAAGGTGTTTGATAAAGCAAGTTTCCCAAGAAACAGGGTGCTATTCTGGAAATATGAGCTCACGTCAAAGTTATATAAAATAGCCTGACCCCATGGTCCTTTCCAGTGCCCATTAGGGAAACTGGACTAGGCACAGAACGTCCATGAGGACTACAGGGAGAATGTGTATATAAGTGGAATTTTCTGTTCCCTTTGCCAATGGAGGAAATCAGGAAAGGTCAGAAAGCTACTTGTGTCCTATCCTACTCTAGCATCCAACTGCTGCAAGACAGCTCAAAGCTTCTCAGCTCTCAGTTACACACTTCATCTCAGATTCCAGTCCCTCTGACTTGTAGAATTACATACACACCCACCAAGTCACTTTTCCAGGCCTAGACTGGCACTTATCTTTCCCTGTGGGTTTCTGAAGCCCTCCAGGAAAGATAAAAGTCAGCAAAGGATATAGAAACACTCATAACAGCTCCTCTCCAATACTCTTCAGCATAATATTAAAATATGAGCTTTTCCCCCAATCCTACCCTTTCCCACACTTGAAATTCTATGTGGGTTTTATCAGTTGTCAATCTCAAAGAACCCACGAGCCCATACTCATCAAACTACAAGCATTCATTGAGCCCACGGAACCTGAGAGTGGAAATTAGCTCTAGCAGTACATATGGAGAATAGAGTGGCTTTGGACTCTTGCCTTATAGCCCTGTATAAGCCAATAAGTTACAGTTTCATCCACACTCTTTATTATTTGAATTTTTTGGTATTTTGTCAGCAGACCAAAGATCTCACAACAAAAAATTCAGGACTTCTGGTATAGAATTTTTTAAAATAAATACATTTTTAAAAATATGTTTCTATACACTTATAAGAAATAAAAAAATTAATCTCTGATCTTTATTTTTAAGGCGTACAAACCTGTATTTGAGGCTGTAGGTGGCAGTGGGGGAAAGACACTGGAAGATGTGTTTTATGAGCACGAGGTACGATATAACTGGAAATCTACTAGTTCATCTACTTTTACCACGGGTTTTTAAACTTTTTTGTTGCCTTGGGTTTTCTTTTACAATTGATCAAGAAAATTGATGCTTGTCAATCAACAGTGTTAATAATTCCTTGGAGCACCAGGGCCATGAGGCTCTCATATGATAGCTTCCCATGGAACTGTCCCATCTGCAGACAGATGTGCACACCACGAAGTCCTAGAAAGAATGTAGCTTTTCCATAGTTAATGAACTAGGAAGCAAAGCTAGGACTTTCAGGCCATCACATCCTGACGCCCTGCACTGTTTATGCAGCTCGCTTTCTAATGCGTCTCTCCTTCAAGGAGGTTTTGTCCATGGTTAAGCCACATGGGTGCAGTGATAACCTTGGGAACTCTTCATATGAGAATCCATTCAGAGACTCTAGATTATTCTCTTTCCCTAAAAAAGACAAAGGAGTATTAAACCATATATGCTCAATTCCTAGGTTATTATACTATTTAACAAAAGGGCTTTCACTCCCCCTTCCCAATAGGTAAGTTCCCCCAAATCTAGAGAATTTTTCTAGTATATTTCTTTGAAACCTATCTCAGTATAATTGAAAGTGACAGCACATGCCTGTAATCCCGGCACATAGGAAGCTGAGAAAGGAAAATCAGGAATTTGGGGCCAGCCTGGGTAACTTAGTTAGACCCTGTCTCAGAAATCAAAACAGAAGCAAATTTTAGAGCTGGAGTAGTCAAAGAAAGTAGTTTGTAAAACTTTCTTGCACCTCTCCTTGAAACGCTTCCTAATGGCTGTCTAGTCTCTGTCGTAGAAAAACAATCCGAATTACCCAGGATTTCAAGGATATATATACCCATGCCCCTGCGCCAGTGCTGCAAAGGAGGCTGCTAAGGAAGCTGCTTGTGGCAGGAAGGATAAGTGTCTTCCTGAGAACAGAGGCAGCCTCCGCTTCCTGCCTTCTTTGCTTGAGGTTTGCAGAGCTGCATAAGACTCAGTATCTCTCCTTCTTTTTTACATCCCAAATGTCAAAATGGAAAAGAATGAAGGAGTCGTTCTATTTCCATCTTTATACCAGTTTTTAAAACATTTTTTTGAAATTCTCTTTTACTCCTTTAACTTTTGTAGAATAAAACAATTCAACAGTATGGAAAGTTGCTACAGTGTCCTAAAAAAGCTCATAATATCACTCAGTCTAAATTCCAGGAGCCTATGACATTGCCTTGGAGGCAAATTAGACAGCATTAAATGCTTTTTTAAAATTTAAAACTTGTGGCCAAGAAGAAAACTTTACTCAAGTGAGGCAAGCCCACTAGCTGGAAGCCAGATATACATTACTACAAAGTTGGACACACATTCAAAATACGCCTAGAAATCTTTGTGCTAGCAGTGCTGTTCTGAGTTTTGAAGTTTGTTAAGTTGAGTCCATAAACTTACTTTTTAAACTGCTGTTATCTACATTTGTCAAAATGATGCTTTCCCTTTAGAATTTACTGGGTTGTCACCCAGCAAGTTGTTTTGGTTGTTCTTCTCTATTTGGCCCAACTTGGACATTGTCTACCTAAATACAAATAAGCACTGCACAAGCAGAAGCCAATCTGTAGCTAAATATTACTTCACAAATATTTGCATTCCAAATAAATTAATAGCCCATTTTTCTTCTTCCCCAGGTACAAATGAATGTCCTGGCATTCAACAGGCAATTCCACTATGGTGTGTTTTATGCATATGTAAAGCTGAAGGAACAAGAAATGAGAAATATTGTGTGGATAGCAGAATGCATCTCCCAGAGACATCGAACAAAAATCAACAGTTACATTCCAATTTTTTAAGCTGACATAGAGGCCCCAAATGCAGAAAAATCATAAATGCTAAAAGAGAGTTATTAAGGTTAGCTAAATGTAAGCTTGGTTGGACATTTGTGAATTGCTGATCCCCCGGAAACACAGTAAACCAACCCTGAAATGAATCATTTCTTTTTTCTTTTCAGCAGGTTTAACACTTGCTTCCACATTTATGTCTCATTACTCACCAGGCTTTACAAATTAATTTTAATTAACCAAGCAGTACTTTTCATTTGATCATGTTAAAAATCAGATCTAATAAAAGTGTTCTATTCTTGGTTTTCCAGGCTTCCCTACATGCCCAAATATGTGCTTTACTTTTTAACTATCTGCTCCTACCCTAGTGCCAGAAGATTCCAAAGCTAGAGTTGGCCAACACAGACCACATTTCATGGGAAGGGTTGCATTTATTTTCCAGTACGCTTTGATCCGGTGCCTAGAGAACACTGCACAGTTCACTCACTGCAAACAGCAACACCTTGATAACGAACTAGTTTCTCATAAATTTCTTTAAATTAAAAAAATATGTAGTTCCTTCATATTTTAACTTGGAAATAACCCATTAATTTTTTTGATCATTCAGAAGCAAAAATCACAGATGCAGTTTGTAGAGTATGCATTCTCCATAAAACTTCAATAGAACAAGTGCATAGAGCTATCCAGAAAAAGAAAAATCAACAAAACACAGCTTAAATTCTTCCTTTAAATATAAAAGAAATCATATTTCTTATCTCTCAATATCAAACATATATACATACTTGAAAATTCCCTCTCTCGTTGTTTTTGCTGTACTGCCAGGGATTGAATCACCACCTCATGTTTATCACTAAGTTACATCCTCACATCTTTTTATTTCTTGGTTTGAAGCAGGGTCTTGTTAAATTGCCCAGGCTTACCTCCAACTTGTGATTCTCCTGCCTCAGCTTCCCAAGTGGCTAGTATTACAACCATGTACAGCCATCCCCAGCTTAGAATTTGAACATTCTTTAATGTAAATACATGCAGAAATTACACATACATGTATAGCTGAATTTGGGTGTGTACACAAAGGATTACATTTTTATAAAGTCAAATGTTTTTAGTAAAATATTTTAGTAATTTTAGTGGTAGGGATTTTTGAGCATAAGAAGAAATAATAACATCACTAGAAAGAAAGCCAAATGCCCAGCCACATCCCCATGCGAGTCCTAGTCCAATCCAGAATTCTGGTACCATGGGAACAATGTGCTTTAGGGGGTTTCAGTGCAGACTCATCAGCTGGAGTCAAAACATTCACTGACCAAAGTGACCTGTGGTGAGAGACAATGTTCCCTGTCTTGCTCAAACCTCTGTTCTTCACACTAGAACTCAGAAGATGAGACATTTATATTTTACATTTTAATCTGTGGTATCTGCAGGAAAGGTTGGAACAAAAGATGCTGCTAGGAAAGAGATATGAGGAGAACATGGAAATGCTTCTTGGACTACCCTCCCCCCCACCCCTGCACACACCTCTGCACAGGATAAGAAGGGTCCTTAATATGCCACAGGTTGCGGGCCAAAGTTACACTCCTTTTCCCTATATATAAAAGGTGGACACCCCAGTCCCTCTTTTCCGCAATTACTCAACCATTGTGAGACTATAGTGCAACTTTCCTAAAACTCCCTCTGGCAAAGAGAATGTCCCTAATCTGGTTACAACAGAGAACACAGATCTCTGAAAAACATTTTATCACACAGGGCCCAAAAGTCAGACATATAGAATTCTGGAAACAATGAGGCAAAGATTTTATTCTCATTTTGTGTGATTGAAACTGACTTCCTCACCATCCCTTCCCACCTTACTCCCAACATTTTAGCAGTCTCAAATGTCCAACTGCATTTGGCCATGGAACATTATATGCTAATGAATTCATACCCAGAATTCCTTGCAGACTACAGCCAGTGCTCTCGGTATATCTGCACAGTCTTCTAGCCACCCTTACCCTCTCCATCCTGCTGATCTTAGCATTGCTACCATGGTTCACAAGTTCTTTTTCAGCACTTCAGTGGACAGGAACTTGCTAAACCTCTAACAAGGTCTTGCAGGCAGAATTGTGGTGCTCTAGGGATCTAAGTGGAGTGGTTGGAGTTCTTAGGACATTTTGAGAACATCTAAGAAATACAGTCCTTTATTTTGTTTGGATGCTTTAGGAATGAGGAACACGGCTGAGAGCAGGTGAAGGTGGCCATCGTGGAATTGGTGAGAGTGACTCAAGGCTGGGTATTGTTAGACAGTGAAGGAATTCAGTTAACCAGTCTGAAATGCCCTCTCTCTCCCCACCATGGGGCTTCATTAAAAGTAACTCAAGTTTACTGTCTGAAATGTTAGCAATGTCGTAAATCCACAGAGATGTCATGGGAAAGAGACAGTCAAAGTTTCACTGTTTTCTCCCAGTTACTCTTAGGACCTGACAAATTTCTCTGTACTGTATGATTTACTTTGAGTCATTTTCTCTTCATTTCAGCAAATGGAAGTGTTAACACACACACACACACACACACACACACACACACACTAAAAATTGCTAGGGAATATATGTGACATTATCAGAGGGCATCACTCTTAGTGATTTCATCTTTTCTGTCTCACAAAAGCTGATCCCAGGAGTCTTGATGTCATTTTGGATGACAGCATAGCCATAAAATGTGTAAGATTTTTATATACACAAAACAAAATGTAGAAATTTTAATAAGGCCCAAATCTCCTTTGCCTAGTAATTTCTCTCTTCTCGCATTTTCATGATTTCATCGGGCCTCTCATCAATTACCTTTCCCTTCAGTCACCTTGCACTGTTATTTCCATTTTCCACCTCTGGCTGAAAGCTGGTCCCTAACTGAAGTCCAGAAGGCCACAGTGTTGCTGTACATGGACCACACTGGGTGCTCATGCTTGGGAAGAAGGGAGATAAGTAAAGAAGATGTACATACAGACCAGTGTGAATATCAATACATTAGGAGGTAATACTCCCTCAGAGAATCCACATGCTAACCGTGCCCACACATGTCGTTTAAAAGCTGGGATCTTTGACAAAAGGTAGAAGTGCATCATCAGTCACTCCATGGCTTTATAGACTTCTGAGATCAGAGAGACTGTGGGCTTGACAGTGTGGCTCACTGGGGTGAAAGTCATTACTACTTTCTTATCTTTTCAGCAAGCGGCAATTCTAGATCTTAAATAATTTAAATGTTTTTGTGTATGTTTGTAGCTTTTTAAAAATTAAAGCATATAATTATTTCTCTGCTGAACTGTTAATGCTGAGATGCACTGTTCATTGTGTAAGATACTAACTCTTTCACATTCTTAGGTTGTTTCAGTTTGAGGTTGAAAACACTTTTGTTCATTTAAGTATAGAGTGAGTATATTTCAGTTTACTGCAGCAACATCCAGAATTTTTAAAGTAAAAGATATCATTTTAAAAATAAAAAGCAAACAGTTAAAGTTTCAATAATCTCCACGATTAGATTCTTCAACAATTGAATAGTGCAGTTCTTCACATTTGCAGAGTTACAGAAGGGTGAGTGACCCTGAACTCCAGGCCCCAGTGTCCTGATTATGTGTACCCTGTACACAAGGCTGTACACCTGATGGTACAAGCAGTACAGTGTATGCTCTATAAATCCTTCAGAGCTTCAAGAGGTTTTCAAGTAGGTTCCTCATAGGAAGGTTATACAAAATTCATACATGCAAATAAGAAAACATCAGTTGTGGTGTAGGGAATCATTTCACAATTTAGCTATAGAATTTAATGTGAGTTCTTAAAAAGTGACTTTCACTTGGGTTCACATACCTTTCAGGAATCTGATGAGCACAGGACACATTCCCTCAACATTACAGACAACCACACACCCACCCAAACTTTTGCATATTATATGAAAGGAGTATAGACCCTCTACAAGCCATTCATGAGCAACGTAGACATCTGGAGACTCCAGGTTAGAAAGCGAAGTGAGGAGTGGAAGAAAATCACAGATTA